TGAAGGACATACCCTCATGGAAATTGGAACTGGCATCCAATTCCTGAACAAAACTGGAAACCCACAGGCCGTAAAGGATAAGATAGACAAGTGGGACCTCCTTAAACAGACAAACTTCTGCAAAGCCAAAGAAACAATCAAGAAAGCAGGAAGACAGCCTACAGACTGGGAAAAAGTATTTGTCAACTCCAGGTCTGACAAAGGCTTAACATCCTGGATCTACAAGGAACTCAAACGTGCTGAAAAGAAAAAAAACAAACAACCCCATTATAAAGTGGGCAAAAGATATGAACAGAAGCCAGGCTCGGTGGTTCAGCCTGTAATCCTGTGCCTTTGGGAGGCTGAGGTGAGTTAATTGCCTGAGCCCTTGGGTTCGAGACCCGCCTGGGCAAGTGAGACCTCATCTCTGCAATAAATCAAAAAATCAGCCGGGCGTGGTAGTGCATGTCTGTAATTCCGGCTACTCGGAAGACTGAGGTGGAAGGATCACTGGAGCCCAGTAGGTCGAGGCTGCCGTGGCCAGGAGCAGCCACTGCACTCCAGTCTGGGCGACAGAGTGAGACTCCAACTCAAAAACAAACAAACAAAGATATGAACAGACACTTCACAAAGGAAGACATCTGAGCAGTCAAAAGACACATGAATAAATGCTCAGCCTCACTAATCATCAGGGAGATTCAAATCAAAACCACACAGATACCAGCTAACCCCAGTCCGAATGGCAATTATCAACAACTCAAAAAATAACAGCTGCTGGAGATGGTGTGGTGAAAAGGGAACACTTTCCACTGTTGGTCAAGTGTAAACTAGTGCAACCTCTGTGGAAAGCAGTGTGGCGATTCCTAAAATCTCTAAACACCAACCTCCCATATGACCTTGCAATCTCCCTAATGGGAATATACCCTGAGGAACTCAAATAACTCTATAAAAAAAAGATACCTGCATGTGAATATTTATTGCGGCATTGTTCACAATAGCAAGAACCTAGAACCAACCACGCTGTCCATCAAAAGAGGACTGGATTTTAAAAATGGGTTACATATACACGATGGAATACTATGCAGCCATAAAAAAAGAACAAAATCATGAATTTTGCATCAACCTGGATGAAGCTAGAGTCTATAATACTAAGTGACCTCTCACAGAAACAAAGATCTGAGTACTACACATTCTCACTCATATAGTGGACCTTTATCATCCAATGCAGTACTATAATAAAATGATTGACAGCGTTGGGAAACTATAGGGGGGGGGATAGGACTAATGGTAGTAAACTAGTAAACATCTGTCTGGAGATGGGGAGACACCAATTATCAACAAGGGGGCCTGAATGAAGCATATTTGTATACCTAACCCTTGACTGTACCCCACAATATCAAAATAAAAAATATAATTTATAAAAAAAAAAAAAAGCAGGATGGTACAGTGTCTGCACGGTCCAGGGAACCAGAGGTGGAAAATTATGGTCCAAAGAATTGTGACCAAAGACCAGAAAATGAAAAATTTTCAGACAGTTGTGTCTCCCACCACTCCAGTGTTTGCTTCTAGTGGGTGGAGTACATCTTTCTTAAACACAAAAACAATGTTCAAGGACA